CGACCGCGAGACCAGCTGGGCCCGCTCCGTCCACGGCGGCGGGCGGGCGCCCAAGAGAGCTGTCGCCGCGGCGCGCGCGGCGGGGCGCCCGCCCCGCTGCAACCGAAAATGATGCCTCCATGGCGCCAGGCGTAATATGTGCGACGCATTCTCGGGCCCCCCATCAACGCATCGGCCAGCGCCCAAGTCCCCGAAACGCAAACCTACAGCGCCCCCCGTGCAAGCCGTGCACCCGCTCCCAATGCTCGTGCAAACCAATTTTTCTGCCCGCCCTCAACACTTCAATTGAGCGCCCGTGTGTTACTTGGGCTCCTCAAGCCCTCGAACACATCTTGGGGAACTTCTGCGAATGCGCGCGCTACGCTCCGCAAATCGGCGTTCTATTTTTCCCTGGAACTCCCCCAGAATCTCCGGTTCCGATTTGTCCCGATCTCCCGCTCAACCGATCAAAAGTCGAGGCGAGGGCCGAGTCGAGAAGGGGCCGAGTCGGGGGGCGGCGAAGCCACGCGATATCGCATCCCGCGGATCCTGGCGAGACGGATGCTGGATTGCCGCTTCGAGCGCCAGCGCGAACTTCCACGGCCACCCTGCTGCAGCGAAAGACGGGGGGCGAGGGGGGGCCGCGGCTGTGCCAGACAACACGGGGAGGGCCCGAGCGGGCACCCCACCGGGAGAGCTCAACTCCCGCGGCTTTCGCAACGTCGCGCTCGGCCTCACCGGCCCAGTGGGCGCGCGACTCCGATGGTTAAAGATTGGCGCCATAATGTGCCCCCCGAAAAGGCTTCTTTTTTTGGCCGCGCGCCGCGGGCTCAGAACGCGCCGAACTATGACCGGCGAACATGGGCGCGGAGTTGCCGCGCGCGCTCGCAGGGTCGAATCGATGCATTCTGCGCGGCGCATTCTTCGCATCGGTGGCGAGTGCCCAGAATCGTGCGCCGCGGTCTTTTGCTCGGGGGCTGTGCGCCAGACCTGGGGGCAGCGCCGCAATGCGCGATCACGTCGCGTCACCTCCGTGCCGCTGCGCGGTCTGGGGCGCATCGCCCGGCTCAAGTCGAATGGCCAGCGCCCGCTTTACTGCGCGCGCGCCGCCCAACCTTCCCGCGACGCGGCGATGTGGCAGTGGCAGGCTTTCCCGTCCAATGCGCAGACCGAGGCGCCTGGGGCGACAGCGCGAGCGGCCCGAAAAATCAAGGGCGCGGACGAGGATACCGAGGCGCGTGAGCTGGCAGCTATTGGCATCGAGTTAAGGCTGGAGGCATGCAAGGGCAACGGCGTGCGTCTCGGCACGGTGCCCCATTGCACCAGAATGCCGGCGCCTGGCCCCATGCGCGCGGCGACGAAGGCGATCGCTGACAGTTTTGAAGCGGAAGTGCAGGGCAAGACAGGGCACGGCCTCATTCCAGATGGTCGCCGCTTCAGCGGCGCCCTGATGGCCGCCGCGCTGAACTTGGCGGAGGGGCCAAGGGGTCTTGCGGAAGAGTTTCCGAAGGCTCACCCACCCGACTCCAAAGTGCTGAAACACGTCGCGACATGTTGTCTCCTCGAGCGTATGCACAATAGAGAGTTCATGCGCTTGCATGCCCCTCTGCCCTAGCCTCGCGAAGATTGAAACGAGTTCTCGCGCCGATCTCGAAAAGGATCAGCACGTCGAGCAGCCGGGCAGAGCGCCGAGCAGCCGAAGGGGGCCTCGAGCGGAGGGGGCAAGAGAGACTGTTCCAGCCGGGCTTCTCGCAGGCTGACGCTGACGAGCAAAAGTAGCGAGTGGCATCCGAATAAATAGTTTAGCTCCTTGATTGTGGACCCGGGACAGATTATGTCAGTCTTTTTCATATTTTTCTCGAAGTGGCCCCATCCTGCTGGTTCGTCGTTCGTCACTTCCCGCTCCGCTCGATTTTCCTGCTCCTCCTGGGTCGTCGGCCTCCCCCTCCCCCTTGGGGGCTGCCCCTGGCTGGGGGCGCCCAGGGGTCAGGCTAGCCTGGCGCCCGCTTGCAGATGCTGGACTGGCGCGCCTCCTGCGGCCCTCGCACGGCGCAGCGCCCGCCCACTCCCTGGCTTCCGGGTCGTTGCTGCCTGCTGTTGGGCCGAGCCGTCGCGGGTGTTCTTTGGCGAATCAAATTGCGCCGGCACTGCCAACTGCCCGCGCTACCACCCCGAACTTTTTAAACTCTTCCGGGCCAGATGTCGCTCAACGCGCGCAGCGACATCCCCCCTGCCCGGCGGCCCGCTCCTCCTGGGCGGAGCCTGGGGCCCCTGGCCCCCCTGCCGCGACCCCCGCGGCGGCCGGCCACGGTCGCTCTGGCCACGGTCGCTCCCGCTTTGAGAAAGAATGCGCCAGTCAACCTGGCTGCGCCTTTCTTCGAACGACGCGGTGAAGCGGGAAAAAAAAAAACGGGGGGCGGGCCCGAGGGCGCGGCCCGGCCTCGCGTGACCTCCGCCACAATTAGGCGGAGCGCCGACGGGCCCAATCAAGCGATCGACGGGGATCTCGGGGGGGCCCGAGAGCGTCATCGCGCGAAGATCGCAGAACGCCAGAGGGTGCATGGGATCGGCCAAAGCGGGGAGATCTCAGCCGCAAGGGCCTTGCCAACGCAAGCAACTGCCTGCGCGACGCCGCTTAGGCCGGTGCCTCAACAAAAAAATCATCCGGGCGCGCGCCAGCGCAGCCAGGTGAGACGAGGCCGCCGCCCAGCTCTTCAGAGAAAACCGCGTTCGTGGAGCGCATCAGGCGGCATTTCGAGACCGCCTGCGAGAATCCAAGGCAAGAGAGGACGCCAACTGCAGCCCCCGCGTCGACAAGTAAATGAACATTGGTTCCAGACATGCCCTGGCCATCGCGCAAGTGCACTGACGAGGCGCAAATACCAATGCCACCAGGAATGCGCACGACGCACGATATGATGCGATTGGGTTCCGCCCGAAGTAACACACCGTCCACGAGGAGGCCCATGAGTGTTCGCGCGAAGATCCCCGTCCCACCGTGCGAGCCACTCTCTTCCCCAGGAGACGCGGGGCCCCAACGGGACAGCCACCCTCTGCGCACGGCCCCTTGTCGGGCCTCATCAACGCGATCAGACTGCACGATGCGGTGCCCTTGTATCAGCACAACGTGAGCGGGCGTGGGCCTTGGAAAACTGTTCCCCGATCCCCGCCCCGAAACATTGGCCGTCTCCATCGCGGGCGCCACCGACACGACGCGGCCCTCCCTCGTGGGAGGGGGGCCTGGCGGAGTCAGGAGGAGTAAAAGGAAACTGGGGCTCGGGGCCACTGGGGAGCCTCTTCAAAACCGGAGAAGCCAAAGCCTTAAGCCCGTTCATGCGCTGCCAGAACTTGGTGGCATCCTGGGATGCCGAGGACAAGGCCGCAGGAATGAAAGTTACCCCCCTCAGGCACTGGCAGCAGCGCCAGCAGGGTGCGATTGATTACTCGACTGCTTAGACATGTTGGCTGTGACATCACAAGTCGACTTGCGGGCAATACCCTTCTCGTCTGGAACAGCAACATCCGCGTCAGCTTTAGGCTTGGGTGCAGCCGGTGCAGATGCAGCGGCCGCAGACGAACTGGCACCCCCTGATCCAGCGGCTGGGGCTGGGTTGCCTGTCCGTCGGCAAGGACGTGCTCCGCGATATATCCACCATTTAAACCGCGGCGACGCGTCTCTTGCAGCTCGGAAAGCATTTGGGCACGGGGTTCCTTGGCTTCCTTCGCCGCAGTGGCTGCGTCTTTGAAGGGCGTCTTGATATGCTCTCGGATCTGCTCTTGTAGCTACGGCACACAGTGGCCGCCACTTTCTGCGTCTGGCCACCTCGTATTCGGCATCGTCCAAATGTCCGAGAGCTAAAACGTATGGGTAGATCGTGAGGCTTACAAGAAGTGATGTCGTAAACGCTGTACTCCTGGGCCCTGACGGGACGAGCAGTCTGCTGGTCAGCGGGGGCAACTTTCGAATACAATTGTTTGACCAAGCGCGTGTGTTCCTGCTCCGCTTTGGTGAGCTCCGCGCTGGCCTGCGCAGACCACTCACGTTACTGAGCAAGTTGGGACTCGAGCTCCTGGCAGCAGGAGACTGATTTCTCCACATCTGTCTCAAGCGAGCGGACTTGATTAAAGGCCATGCTGATTTGCTGTACTGGTGGAGGTCCGAAGGCGGCTTCCCCGGCCTCCCCAGCACCACGGGATGTGAGCAAGGATTTGTCGGACTTGGCACCCTCCACGTCGCCCAAACGGGTGAGGAGGTTGATAGACTCCCCGAGCTGCTCGAGGGATGCTGTGGTCAAGGGGTCAGCACTAGTGCGGCCGAGCCCTGGCCCCAGGTACTGAGCGCCAGGCCGAACAAGAAAAAGGAGGAGAAGGAACCAGCGCACCCGCTCCATGATCCGCCGTAGCGCCAGCCATCCAAATGGCCGTTTGACCCTGACCAATGTGATTGTGAACCCCAAGACCAGCTGGCCTTCGGGGCGCCATCCGAAGGAACGTTTTCAACCCTGTTAGCACCGCAGTGTTTGCAGCACCACCATGTCTGGAGGTTCTTCCTGCAGCAGCATGTAGTGCGCGTCGATTTGCCGTTGCTCTCCGAGCGCGAGACATCGCCACCTGGTGCCATGGACTAGGGAAGACTCGCTTGTTCCCTGCGTTGGCCTGGAGAGAGGCCCTCAAGCGACAGCCCAGGGAAGACTGACTGAGCGCCTGGAAGGAAGCTCGAGCAAAAAGCGCTTGAGGGGAGGAGGGGGAGAAAGAGGAATAGGAGGAGGCGGGGAAAGTGAAGAGAAGAGAGGGGGCAGGAGGGCACCAGACGAGGGAGGTCAGGAAGGATGACCTTACTCATCTCCGTTACTTCGCATCATTGCGCGCAGCGCTGGGCCGACATTATCAGAACAGTGGTCAGGTCATTTACAAACATGCAAACTCAGGGATCAGTTCGTCTTGCTGCGCTGGAAGAGGTTGTGGAAATACGACAGGGCATCATTACTCATCCAATGCCCCGTGCCTGCGGGGAGGGCGAGTCAATGGGTCATGGGAGGTGAAATGCCACCATCATCCTGGCAATTCTTTTCTTTCTGCCCATCCACACGGCGCGCCGAAAACGAACGACGTCTCCGCGGCACAAGTCGTGGAGGACCGCCAGACTGGCCACAACTGCACTGCCTGTTCGGGGGTGCATCGGAGCCCTAGCAACGGCAGGACGAAGCTTGGAAAACTTGTGCGCTTGGACCCCGGGAGGGGTCCGAGGACCGATTTTGAGCTGCCCTCGTCTCAACCCGCTCCCCTCTGACCAGTCACAATTGCACAGCCTGTCAGGGAGCGCAGCCGCCCGCGGGGCTGGGCCAGGCCCGCACGAAACTACGACACCGCGCCGCAGACTCTGCCCGTCAGGCCTCCGACGCCCCAACCCCGGCGACGGAATCCGAGCCCTACCCTCGCTGATCAACGGTTCCGGCAACTCGATGGGCGGCGGGAGTGGGGTTCGGAATGCGTCGAGCACGCGGCGAAATCCGAACCCTACCCCGCCTCCAGAAGATCCGGGAGAATCGATTGTTTGATGGGAGTGGGGTTCGGATGTCGCCACCTGCTACTCGCAGTCGACTACACGCAAGAGCGGCTCTGGGTAGGAGTGACCGTTGGAGCGCGGCTCAACGGGGGGTGCGGGGTGACCAAGCCTGGGCGCGCACGCCGCTGCGACCGCTTCGCGCTCAGCGATCGGGGGCCCTCGCTCGCACAGAAGGTCACTCCGACGCAAGGTCACCCCTACGTCTGGTCGACACAGGCGCGCGCCGCGCCACGCAGCTGCTGGATCTCTACTGGCCCAACGCCCCTCCTGGACACAAGGGGGGCCCCCCAAAACACCTCCTGCACCACGGCCCTCCTCGCGCCACTCGAGAAGCTTAGGAGGCGACTTCTGGGAGGTCTTCGCACGAACGATTACAATCAAAATCCAGCATAAGGATGCAAGGTAAGGATGCAAGACATTGGAGGTCCCATTCTACCATTCTCAGGTCCTTGAACGTCAACCTTGACTTCGGATGGGCCGAAGAAGCAGGGCTGCAAGGGTAGGCTTAATGAAGCAGCGCACCCTTACTATGGACGTTGACTGTACTGGCTGACCTGCCCGATTGAAGCATATGAGGCCCGATTCAGCGGAGGGTCAAGCCCGAGTAACTAGATTAAAACCAGATTTCGCAGGATTGAGCAGGTCTTCGAGCACGGCTCATCCTCCTGCTCATTTGCCACCTCCTCCTCCTCCTCCGTCTCCTCCCCCTCCTCCTCCTCCTCCTCCTCCTCCTCCTCCTCCTCCTCCTCATTCTTGACGTTGCCCAGACACAAAGAACAAGCCTGTTGCGTTCTAGCCTCCTCCTCCTCCTCCACCACCTCCTTCAATGCAGAACACGACGGGGTCCTCTTTGGAGTTCAAGGGCTGCTATGGCAAGCATCGGCGGATATATTAACAAAAGCACAATCAGAAGGGGTAGGTGGGAGGGATCGGGTGTCAGATATGGCGCGAGGGCAGCTAGCTTGCCATCCCCCCATGTTCTTCCTCCTTCTCCTCCTTCTCCTCCCCCTCATCCTACACCAAGCCTGCTCGCGCCGTGGCAACGAAAATTACGACGGGGGGGTTCTGGCTGTGTTCGACCTCTGGGGGCCCTCGACAATCAAAAAATGGCTGCGGCTGAAGAACCTATCCCAGGGAAGAGGCCCAAACCTCTGAAGAACCACCCTTTGAACAAAAGACATAGGATGTGTCGGTCCTTCCCCTACCCGGCCCCCTCTCAGTTCTGTCCCGTAGTGCTACGCCTATGTATGTCTGTATGCATGTATGTATGCATGCATGTATGAATGTATGTATGCATGCATATTTGTACTCTCAATCCGTCACCTGGCAAGCCGATTGCGACCCCACCTGGGGCCTGTCCTGCCCATGAGGAAAATTACAATTCAAAGTAGACGCTGCTGCTGTCAACGTGGACGTTTTGACTTTTGCCGTCGACGCTGCAGAATGCTTGGCGGGAATGGGACGGGGCGCACATCGCGCGCGAGAGGGCGAAATGTCACCCTCGCCTCGTCGCCGCGCTCGGCTTTCCTGAGAGTTGAGCTGCCGCTTGGGCGGCGCGTACGCTCGCCAATGTGTCGACAGCGCATAAACCGTTTTTGAGCACGGCTTCCAGAAGTTCCTGAACAGATTCGGTGCTGGCGCAATCAGAAAAAAGTGTTCGGTGACCATCGGGACGGGAACCGCCTGCTTACAATCCAGCGAACAGTTGACGCTGACACGACGAGGGTTTGGCGCCACATGAGCAGGCTTCGCGCAGGACTGCTACGACTGCACGAAAACTGCATGACGGAAGATTCCTTGTACATCCACAAGGTGGAAGCAGCACACGGCGGCAGCTCAAATCATCAGCGGCCCCTGGTGATCTTTCAGTGGCCCCGCGCCGATCGAGAAGACCTTGATGTCGAAATCGCCCGCGACGCCCTCCGCCCAAATCTCCAGACTACTGATCTTGTCGAGGTTGTCGGCTCTGGGGCAGACATCGGGCCGCTCGGCACTGCAACAATGGTGCTGGTAACCGTTGTTGGGGTCCTTGGTGTCGCACCGGCCTGTGAAGTCGCTCCAGTCGACGCTGAAGTCACTGAAGGGTACTCTCACGGTGGTGCGCGCCGTGCCTGGGACCTTGAAGCCCGCCTTGAAGGAAGGAGCCGAGTGGTGCATGGCACCACCTGGGCGCTTCGCGTTTGTGGCGCCGAACGCAACCATGAAACCTCCATACTCTGGCGTCGTCGTCTCTACGTCCAGGTAGAGCGCGCCCTCGCTGAACCGGCTCGCATTGGCGAAGTGGGGCGGGGGAGAGAAGAGGCTCTGCTGCGTCCCAACCTTACAGAAGCCAGGTGCATTGAGAAAGGGCACGACCGCGCACGTGCCCTTGAAGTGGCCCTCCGAGCCCTCGACCTCGAACGTGGAGTGCGATCGACCTGGAAGGAGGCCGACCGTACACCTCGCACCGATCCTGGCCAGGCCCATACTGGGTCCAAGATCGGTGTCACTCCCTCCCTCCCTGGCCAGGAGTGCGTTGACGCCCATGCTGGGCCCGGCATTGGCCGGCCGTGGATCTGTGCAGAGGTGCACCAGGAAGCTGGAAACACACACACACACAAACAAACAAACACACACACACACACACGCACGCGGCTGGAGTCACATGTGGAACATCCAGCGAGGCCGCTCGCGGGATGCAAGTGCGGAAGCCCCGCGTGCCCTGCCGCAGAGGGGCCGAGCGCCGAGAAGGGGTCTGGCCACGTGTGCCCGGCTCTCGCCCAGGCGGGCCGCACCTTGTGCATCCAGATTCCTGGTTCGGGGATGGACAGACCTCCCTTTAGTAAAACGCGGTTTAGTGAAAACGACCTAAGGCCCAAACCTGGCGGGCGGCAGGCCTGGTAAATAACGGCCGCGGCGCCCTCTCGAGAACCGAAAACGGACAACTCACTAATCGACGTGTCACTGTTGGGGGTTCTGTCCACCCCCGACTGGTACCTGGCGTCCCCGGGTGACCGCCCATTACTGGGTCGTTCATGGCCCGCCAGCTGTAGGTCGTGCCGGTTGCGCCGTCGAAGGTGGCGAGGACCACCAGGTCCTCGCCCTGCGCCTGGCCAGGGGGCCCTTGGGTCTTCGAGCCCCTGTTCTCGAACTTCACCTTCTGGTTCTTTCGGAGCAGGTCGAGCTGAGACAACGGCAGCTCACAATCGATCCACAGACCCCTCCCGGGGTCCAAACGCACGAGTTCTCCGAGCTGCGCCCAGCCGTGGCGACGAGGCGCCCTCCCCCCCCCCGAAAGCCAACAGCCGGCGGTATCTTACCTCCCCCTCCTCCGAGAACGTCACCTTGTGGTTTTTGATCTCGAACTTTACTTGGTCCCTCGCCATCGCCAGCAGCTCGTCCACCATCTTCACACTCCCCCACAGACCGTCGGGACGGCCTGCCCCGACATGAAGGAGCGCGAGGGCCACGAGCGCCCTTCCCATCGCTCTGCTAACCAGCCTCGATCTTATCCCTGTCCCTGGGACTGACAAGCCCCAAGGCGATGGCAATCTCAGGGACGCGCCCTCAGAAACAGAGGGAGTCCTTCTCAAGGTCGGCATCGAAATCTGGTGATGCCAATCATAGGGGCAGGGACTTGTTCCAGGCTGGTAAATTGCCCCTTGCCGAGCTCCCCGGATCTTGATGCCCGATACACTCGGCAGAAGAGCTGCGAATGCTCGGGGGCGGCTCCTGGTGGCATCGGGGGCACAGTCATCGTGTTGCCACGAGGAACGCTGAATACGGAAAACGAAGGGGGCTTTTCTGGCCACGGCGAGCCTCGGCCACGAGTGGGCCAGGAGCAGCCCGAGAGCCTGAGCCCCATCCTGGGCCGAAAGTGGCCCACGTTTCGGCGCCCCGGCTGCAGCTGTGGCCGCGACTTCGAAGAGCGGCTCCGGAAGAGCTTCTTTCCCAAAGATTCGTTGTTCGCCGTGCAATGAGAAGGCGGTTTGCATGCGGCGGCGGCGGCTTGCTACGTGCGGTGTCGCAGGAAACTGTGAGCGAGGATCGCGCACAGGAGCTTCGCGATGCTCTGCTGACAACAACAGCTTGTGGATGCTGTCAAGAATTACTACACGACCAATCGGTTAAACGAAAGAACGTGGTAAAAGTAATAACCAAGAAGCAGCTGGCACAGCGGAGAGCTGGAGAGGAAGTTGCATCGCCTCTTGGACTGCGTCTCCTCGCCCACCAGACTCGGCCTTGTGCGCTGTACCGCTTGCGACTTGCAAACACGAATGGCGATGGGCTCGTCCAGAAAGAGTGCCGCTGTGCTATGGATCGGAGAAGGCGGCTGCGGCGTCGGCTGCGACATTGCCACCAGCGGGCCTGACCAGGGCCTCATGGTGCGAGCCTGCACCGTCACTTCGCAGCTACGGCGGCGCTGGCAGCGGCCCTCGTGCGGCAACAGCGCCCCACCCGAAAAGACACCCAGCCAAAGGCCTGCTGTACCCAGGGAAGGTCCCCGGCCGACCCTGCCGGGCCGAACAGCATGAGCAAGGCGGGCAGCAGCGTCAGCGAGACGAGCGAGCTGACGACGACGGCGGTCAGCATAAAGACGCCGAAGACGTGGTAGAACATGAACTTCGAGGGCAGCAGGAAGAGAGAGGCCAGCAGCGAGGTGATGGCACCGCTGAGCACGCTGATGCCCATCTCCGTCAGGGCGTGCGAGGCCCTCTGCGCGCGCTCGGCGGCGGGACTCGCGCTGGAGCCCACGACGCGGGCCTCGTTGTAGGAGTGGGCGATGTGGACTGTGTAGTCGACACTGAGGCCCAGAACCACGATCAGACCTACGGATTCGAAGATGCCAAGAGAGAAACCGAAGATCGGCAGGCAGCCGGCGAATACGATCAGGATGGCGATGATGCAGAGCAGGCTGAGCGTGGCCATGATCCAATTCGAAGTGGCAAGGCAAAGAATGACCCACGCCAAGATCAAACACACACCGATAGACTGCACCACGCTCCGCATGAGAGTTTCCTGCAAGACCATGAAAGGCCAGATCGCCGACGTGTGGTAGGCGCCGTAGGAACCCACACGACCGTCCACAAAGGTCGACCAGGCGCTGTAGTGATCCTCGGCAACGTCCAGAGGCAGGGCTTCCGGGGGCATGGTGCTGTTCAGGCTCACGTAGCCCCACTGCAGCTCGCCGCCGCTGAGGTAATACCTGCTCATGTCGAGCCACGCGCTCAGGTCCTGCAGGCCGTACGAAGTGCGGACAGCATAAATCTTGCAGACGTACCACCCCTGCACCTCGCAGCACTGACCGCACGGGAAGCCCGCCTCCTCGTCCGTTGCCCCAGGCGAGAAGGCCTTGCTGCTGAGCGTCTCGGCCAGGCTCTGCTCGTGCCAGTCCTCCGCGGTCCTGCCCTCGGCCTCCATCCTGTAGTCGCGGACCCAGTCGATGAAGCAGACCGCGCCCGTCTGGCACCCGGTCGGCTCCACCCTGACCCGCGGGCCCGAGTCCGCCGCGCCCAGCAGGGGGTGCGGCCTCAGCTCCGAGCTGCAGTTCTCGTCCCTGTCGACCCGGTCGCAGAGCCCGGAGCGGGCGTCCTCGCAGAGGCCCCACAGGGCCAGCTGGCCGTCCGGGGTGCTCAGCTGCCGGATGCTGCTGGGGTCCAGGTTTGGAGTGCCCAGGTCCTCCGGGTCCCGTGCGTTCGTCCCCGTGCGATCGACAGCATTGTCCCTGTCCATGCCCAGCACGACATGCACTTGGACCTTGGGGGTATCGGAGCTGCTGACGAAGCCATCCCTCTCGGCGAACACCTCGAACCATCGGGAACCGTACTCGTCGTTGAAGAACTGAGGCCCCTCCGTGGTCAGGCGGAGCTTGGCACCGACCACGCACACGGCTGCGACGAAGAGCACGAGCCAGAAGAGAGCGATGGGCAATTTGAATCTCTGCACCAGCGGGGTCCATCTCTCCCTGAAGAACCTCTCGGGGGGCCGAAGCTTCTCGCCCTCGCCCTCGCCTCCCGCATCCCTGGTGCACTTCCCACATCCCCGGTTGATCAGCGTGCACGGGCCAGACCAGCTCTTGAAGTGAGTCTGGAAGACCACCATGGCCGAGGCAAAGAGCGTGATGACCAGGAGGAAGTCGAAGGCGACCACGAAGGCGCCAAAGATGCCGAAAGACGAGATGGATGGTATCGGCGTTATGCCTGCGGCCAGCATGCTGAAGAAGGTTGTGGCCGATGTGACAGTCATCGCGCCACGAGCACGGCGAAGAGCATACGCGAACTTCCTCTCTGGTGTGCCGTCACTCCTGTTCTCGAAGTGTGCGTCAGCTTGTTGGTACGCGTCCCACAAAACGAAGATGTCGTCAGCCCCGATCCCAAGAATCAGGAAGAGGATACACAGGGTAAAGAATGTCAGGAACTTGCTCTGCATGACGCCCCACATGAATATGGCCAGGGGGATGGACAAGATGATCTCGGTCATACCCACGGAGGCTAGAAAGGCCGAGGTGGTCCCGAACCACAGCCACAGGAAGACCACCGCGAAGGAGCCGATGGCGAAGAAGAGGTCCCCTTGCAACGACGACATGAAGAATACCGAGTCCGTGCCTGCCCCGCTAAAATACACGTTGAAATTGCCATCCGACACCTCGTTCTTCGCCTCGGCTAGTGCACGGTAGAGGTCTCCCGTGGTCCACTGCTCCAGCAACTCCTTCATCTTGTCGTTGTCCTCATCGCTGTCGGTGTTGGAATAACCCTGAAGAGGGAACCCGAAGCTGTACATCGACCTGGCCCTCTTCGACGAGCCGTCCGAACAGGAGAGGTCGGCACCGAAGGAGAATTTCGCCTGCTCTGCGTTAAGCTCCTGCGCGCTCGCCGTGCACGGCAGCTGCGCACTCTCGTCGCTGTTGAGGCAGGTGCCGGGGAGGTCGGCGCAGCCACCGTCCTCTGGCCTGCTCGCACAGCACACGCAGCGCAGGTGCGACACACGGTCCGCGTCGAGAGGGGCCTCGTCCGAGACCGGGTCGAAGACCGCCGATGTGCATGGCGCGTGGCCATACCAGGAGTTTGTGCCGCACGTGTCTGCCGCGTCCTGCCAGAAGGGGGTGGCACCGCAGGGCCCGAAGCCCTGCTCAGTCTGCAGCTCGTGAGTGGCGGCGGCGCGAGCCGCCAGCTTCAGCGGGGTGTTGGGCGAGCGGCACCTGCCCTCGGTGCCGTTGAAAGCGTAGGTAAGCAAGCAGTGCTCTTGATACTTCGCGTCGCCCACGATGACGCTCTCCACCTTACGGATTTTATCCAAGTTCAGGTCGCTCATGATGTTCCCATCGTTGACCTCGTAGATAATGGTGATGCTCGAGAGGGACACGCTACGCTCGGCGACCGCGCCCTGCCGGATCGAGGCGGAGGGGGACTGGTCCTTGCCCTGCTGCAGCGCGCTGAACTGCATCACGACTGGGTCTCCAACGACGTCCCACTGGTCCTCGGTGGCCAACACCACCACCTTGCTCTGGAACATTGCGCCCGCCATCATTGAGAAAAAGAGCGCCGCCGCGAGGAAGCTGCAGCAGGCGCAGCAGGGCCTCTGCACGATGAAGGTCTCGAAGCGGGTGGGCTCTATGTCGTCCACGTTCACGCTGCGAGACCTCGTCAGTGCTGGCTTTGCTTCGGTAAAGGCTCTGGCATTCTGTGACCCAATGGCGGTCACCGCGTCCGGCCCAGCAGCACCACCAGACTCGGCCGGCACACCGTCTTCTCGAGGAACAATCGGGCCAATCGCTGGCCCTTGGGAGCTCATGCTAGACATTGCTAGACTGATGGCTGGCCTCTTGAGCTCAGCGTGGAGACGTCCGAGCTGATCGGAAATGCTGGGAGAATGGCTTCGAACCGAAGAGCTAGAACCGAGGTGCCCGTGCCGACACGAACAGAGCATCAAAGTTTGCCGTATCTTGGGAGGCACGCTTTTTTACTTCCGCCGATGAAGAGATGGCAACTCCTGCGATCTTCGAGGGCAATGCCCTCTCCAGAATGTACCGTCTGGTTTTCGCGCTGCACCCTCTGCTCCGCCTCAGCTTCCCAGTCCTCGTCCCGCTGGGCGCCTCCGCCCTCCCCCGCTGTATGCCTCGCCGTGACTGGCCTCGCAGGCGCCAGGTGGAAAGGGCGGCAGGTGTGAGGCAGCGGACCGACCTCCGCACACCTCCCCTCCCGCTCCCCTCCCCCCCCCTAAAAGGACTCCCAACAACCACCCCGAGACCCTCCCTGAAGCCCCCCGGAGGCCCCCCTCCTCCTCCTCCTCCTCCTCCTCCTCCTCCTCCTCCTCCTCCTCCTCCTCCTCCTCCTCCCTCCCTCTCCTCCTCCTCCTCCTCCTCCTAAAAGCTGAAAGGGAAAAGATGGCCCCGCTCTTCCGCATGCGAAAAGAAGCTAAAGAGAGAAAGCTTAAGAAACTGACTAAGGAAAGAAGAGAAGAAAGAGATGAAGAGAGTAAAGCAACAAATATTCAGTATGACAAGGACAAGGACATCTCGGAGTACCAGGTCCACAAGTACAACCTGGCCTCTGAGGTGGCGGCGGCCCCGGACCCGCCCCAACCTCACAACGTGAGAAATGAAACTGCTGGAAAACTCCTCCCACTCCTCCTCCTCCTCCTCCTCCTCCTCCTCCTCCTCCTCCTCCTCCTCCTCCTCCGCCTTCTCCTTCTCCCTTCCTCCTCCTGCTCCTCCTCCTATCCTCCCTCGCTCCCTCCCTCCCTCTCTCCATGCCTCCCTACCCTCCCTGGCGAGGCCACCTGCCCGCGGCGAGCACAGCCTGGGAACAGCAAAGACACAGCAGAACAAAAGCATCACTTAAGAAATCTGGGCCAACCTCTTGGAGGTTTCTTAAACCAAACCTGGGCTTGCAAGTGTTCGCGTGAACGCTGTAGGGGCGAGCGCGCGCAACTTTCTGGCAGACTGGCTAAGAAACGCTGGCCCAGCTTCTCGGGAGGAGGTTTCTTCACCATACGCTCGACCGTATGCAGCATATGCGCCTTTTCACGCACCACGAGCCAGCACCAGTGCCCACAGCGTGCCCCAAGCAAGCACAGATCCACGCAGAGACCCCCCCGTAGTCAACTCGCGCGTCCCGGGCCTGTACAGTAGTGATACAGAGCGTGCGTGTAGATCCCCGTAGATCCACATTTGGCTGGAGGCAAGGATATTTTGGAAATCTGCGCACCTTGGTCCCCAGGGTCCTCGACGAATAAGAAATCTCCGCGGGGCATCGGCTGGCAAGCGGCCCCCGAACAGATGGCCCGCTCCGGAAGCCCTGGGCCCCAACCTGCTGAAGTTCACTTGGGGGTAGATTCTACATCTGGCGGCTTCCTGCCAGCGCTCCGCAGGCGGAGCCGCCCTCGCTGTTCCGCCTCCAGGCCCCACCTGTCGTCCACCAGTCCGCCGAAGACGAGAGCTCAACTTACGGGTTCCTTCCTGGAAGGCGAATGCCTTTCTGGAGCGCCTTCTGTTGCTTCGGTAACTGCCGCTACCCGGGATCGGGTGTTTGGGGCCCTGGGCAACGGCAACGCTTGGGCCGGGTGGGGCACGTCGGGGCGGAGGCGCGCTGCGATCGCCATAGCACGCGCGCGAGCACCAGCATGTGGGGAGGGGGGGCCAGGCTCTCCCCTCACGTGCGATCGTTTCCACTACCCAGGGGGGAGGGGCCTGGCTCGGGCAACAACCGTTGCGCACCAAGCGATAGTTCAAACAAATCAGCAGTTCTGTTCCGCGCGTTTTGGGCCTCAAGGAGCCTCACGGATCTATCCGGCCCCAAAAATCAAGCGGAATGCTGAGGTCGAGAGCTCCAGGCGGCCTCTTTTTCACGACTGCGCGCTTCTCCGCAACGTCGGACCTCTGGACCACGCCACGGACACGAAGCTTTACACAAATATCCGTGAAGGTCAGGAGGAGCAGCACACGCAGAAGGAGGAGGAGGAGGAGCAAAAGGCCGACCCCCGCTTGCCAAGCGTAAAATAACGTGCGAAGTGTTCGGCTGTCTAGTCCTCCCTTCCTTCCCCAAGAGTCCAACATCCCGCTTGACGGGGGGGGCGTCGAAAGGGGGGGCATCCAAGAGGAGGTTCGCAGACTGTGGCTCCGAAACACGTGCGCGGCCCAGTGGGGGGAAGCAAAGAACGCGTCGAAAGAAGAATTGGCGACCATGAAAACCAGGGAAACATCATAGCCCCAGCCATGATACCCACACATCCCAAGCCCTTTTACCCCGATTGGGAGGGGCTGGGAACGCGCCATCGCACCTGCCTGGCCCTCAGATTTTCCAACCGAGGACACCTGGCCTCTGACGCCTCGAACATGGTCCAAAGTGTCTCTCGCTCCGAAGAAACCTCGGATGGCCAGAGATGGTTTCCGAATGGCAAAGGGAAGGCTTGAAAACACGCCGACATGGCCTCACGAGGCCACCAGAGGCTCAACGGTGGTTCCTCGGAGAGCTCCCGAGCAACCAAGAGAACGTTACATCCGGCGTGGACCCTACATGTTTCTTGCATTCCCCATCGCCTGTCCTAAAGATGTCAAGTCGATGGGCTGCTGATCCTTCCGAAACGATCCAAGCGCCCTCAATGAGACCTAATACGGACCAAAATGCCTTCAGACAACCCCAAGATGGCCCCACTTGCTCCGGGGTGGCCCCAAGACTCCCCCACCAGGCCCAAGACCCACCAAAAACGCCCTCAACAGCTCCGAGAGGACGCCAAGATGGCCCCTCGAGGCCACAGAGGCCACGGACGAGCCCCAGAGGGTCCCCAAAGTTCCTACACGGCCCCACGAGCGCTCGAAGACTCCCTCCCTCCCTGCCTCCTCCCTCCGTCCAAAAAAACACTACGTGGGATAACCCATAACCTCGTAATTCCCCCCGCCTTCCACAAGAACCAAGAACAACAATACATGAAGCTTCACCAATAACAGCAATATGCACTAATACAAGAACCAAGAACCAGAACTATGTGATGAGACCTCCGCCTTCACCTGTTCCTCCTCCCGCTTCCCAAAAACGCAATCTTGGTTCACGATTCTTGGCCCAAGCCGATGGCCATGTACGGGGCACCCTTCAGGCGATATCCTAAACTTGAGCCAAGCGTGAGCCATCCCTCCCTTCTCCTTCCATCCCTCCCTCACTCTCCCCTCCTTCCCTCCCTCCCTGTCGGCCAACCGCGGGGATGGCGCCCCCGCTGACTCTGGGGGCCGTCCAAAGGGGGACCGTCCAAGGTCCAGCGCTCCCCGGGCCAGCCTCGCCTTGAGGCAGGCCCCGGGCTGCGACGCTGGCCGAAGGTTGCCGGCGCTCCCTGCGTCGGCCAGCCGACGCGCGAAGGGCAGGGGGAGGGGGGAGAGGCGGAAGAAGGCAGAGGCGGAACGCAAGGCGCGTGCTGCAGCCAGGGCGGCCCAGCTGGGGAAGGGAGGGGAGGAAAGGAGAGGGGCGGCTGGGGGCGGAGGCGGTCGGGTCGGCGGTGATCGTGGCAGTGGTGGTGGTCATGGCGCCGTCGCTGGCCGCGGTCGTGTTCGTAGTGTTGGTCGGCGGTGGTCGCGGTGGTGAATGTGTCAGCGCTGGTCGGTCGTGGTGGTCTGTGTTCGCGGATGTGGTCGCGACCGCTTGCGGTGGTCACTGCGCTGGCGGCGGTCGCTGTGGACCAAGCGGAAGCGGGGGGCGGCTCGCCTAGCGCCCGAGTGCGCTCAGCGGCATCTCAGCACTACCCCTTCGGAGGGTTCCGCTGATCTGCCGCCAGAGGCTGTCCAGCAGCTCGGAGCGCTCGACGTCGTCTAGGTCGGCTCCTTAGCTGTGGACGAAGCTGGCGGTTTCGTCGCTGGGCACGCCCCCTGTCTCGAAGACGAAGGGGACCAGCTCGCCCCCGGGTGAGGGGTACCGCTCACCCTTCAGTTTCACCATCTGGGCGGCCGTCAATGTGTCTGCCCGGGCACCCCTGCGTGGAGCGTAGGTTGAATGTACGCAAATGATTGTCCAGTCGGCGTAAAACGTGGCGCCCGTTGGCCGGGTCGTTGGTGGAGAGGTCGAGGACGGTTTGCTGCAGCACCCCAGTGCGGGGGTGGCGGCGATCCCAGGCAGGGACGGCCTGCTCCGTGGGCGCCGCGAAGTCTGTGAGCTCCTTGTGCTTCTCGGAATGACAGTCGCGACACTTGTTGTGACGCTGGTTGCGCGACGCGCTCACCTCGCACTGGACTGCGTGCCTGCCGTGCGGGTCGAAGGCCTCGTTGCAGAGACTTCCATCCTCGCGGCAGTGATGGCAGCGGGATCCACCCATGCAGACCAGGACGCATAACTGCCGCTTGAGGTTGCCACAAAGTGCGCGTCTGGCTGGCGGGGGTCGCCCGGCTGGCGCGGGAGGAGCCAGCTGCCTGCCCTAGTGCCTCCGTTCTCTCGCAAGCGGAAGCGGCAGTCCTCGTCGAGCGTCTGCAGCAATTTCGCCTGGTTTGCCGCGGAAGCGGCTTTGGCCCAGTGCCCCTGTAGCTTCGGTTGCGAATCTGCGGCGCATCCGATTCAATCGAAGGGCGCATGCAGAACGCCAGCAGCTTAGAGCGTCGCCTCTGCCTGGTCGAACGTCCGTTGCGTCCGCGGGCAGCGAGCCCGGAACTCTTCCAGCAAATTGGCCCCGAGGCACCTCATGACTTCCTTCCCTCCCTCCCTCCCTCGCTCCCAGCTGCCGCCCCGGCTCGAGGCTTTGGGAGCAGGTGTCAGACACCTGCGAGCCTCGACCGCCGCCGGGCAGCTGCCATGCGCGCGGGCCGCCGCGCACGCCTGGCGCGCAGCGGGCCGGCCGTGCCCCGCCCGCGCCTCGGGCCGCCACGCCCCTCGGGCGGCGCCGAGCGCGCGCCAACCCAGCCTGGCACCGTCGGGCCC